CTTTGTTACAGAAATTCAAGATCTTTGCAGGAAATAGTGCTTTTTGAAAATACAATATTTTTTTTTCCAAGACAATTAAAACATTTGGTATTTYAAATATTTCAATAATCCAGATCAAATATTAGCCAGGAAGTCCAATACAAGGCACTTTCAAATATGAGGTTCTGTGGGTTGAAACTTGCACTTTCCTTTGGCATCAAAGTGTGCAGAAACAGTTTTTACCTTAGCATCAACACTGAATGCCCTAATACCCTTTCCTATCATTGCTCAGAGCATGTGTTGTACCATTTAATAATCATCCAAAACTTCATAACTGGCTTTATTTGAATGATGATGGTGTGCATTCTAGTTTAATACAACATTGAATTACCTTTTCGGGCAAAGAACAGTACAAAAATGAAAGAGGTCATGTCTTTAGGAATACTGTAGTTGCCAGCTGAAAAGAAAAATGAACGCTGAAAATTTGTGGATTTTTTAAAACTCATTGAAAAAATTACACATTTCAATTACTGCTGTTGCTCAATAAAAATAAATACTTGTATAAAAAGACTTGCCCATAAATGAAAGAGTTGAACAGAACGACTTGTGCCTATGAATTACAGTTCCGGACTGCTTATACTCTGCCTTAAAGCTGTGTATTCTTTCTCTGTACTTGTGCAATGCAATTATATTAGAAGGCCCTCTTAAAACTGGGTGATCTATTGGTTTAGGGAGCTAAACATTAATTCCAGATGTAGTCATGCTCTTCTAAGCCCTTCAAAAAGTAACTACTGCACCATCTGTTTTGTAATAGACAATTTCAAAGAGTGCCAAGGGGAATGTTAAATACATTGGTCAAACGGCCACATATACCTCACACACACAGGAATCCTAGAGGTCACAGTGCCTTAGACAGATTCATATTGTCACGTTTTTCTCTCCATTGTTCAACTATGGAAACTCAAGGAACAGCTCTCCTTCCTGCCAAAATAGGAAGGAGATGTTTTCCAGATTATTACCAGTGTTGACATGTATGAGGCCAGATTCAGACCTGAATTCAGTGGAATGACTGGAATGAACAGTGACATATCTTCTATACCTGCCTGAATTTTGGATTTTCCAAATGTCTTTGTGGTTGCTTTTTTTTAATGGAATCAGTAGCAAGAATTTAATGCTAAAATCACTTCTGATTTGGCTGGTTGCCCAAGAAAAGTGAAGGGTGCATGACATAATGAAGGGTTATTCTGTGTCACAAGTGATAGTTTTAACCTTCCTTATTTATTTCAGAAAGCTTGAAGTAAAGACATTGTCTCTGTTCTTCTAAATAAAGTCTTATGCATCAATATCTACAGCTCAAGTATGTAGAAAAAAGAGCACTGAGGTCTGCCATCAACATGACCTAAATTCTTCACAACAACAAAACTAGAGTAAAGAACATTCTCTGAAGATTCCCTAAGCATAAACCTGAGCTTCAGAGCAGCTACTTATGATTTATACTAAACAGTCCTGAGAAAAGGTCTAAAATAAAAACAAAAGGAAACAGAAAAACTGCTAGAAATTCGACAATTACAATCTTGTGTAGTCCTAGAGAGAGGTTTTTCTGCAGTGACATAGGAAAATCATTAGTAAAAAGAAACAAAGTTTAATAACATGTCTCCAGTTCATTCCTCTTTGGTTTTTCCAGTGCACCCAGTCATATTTTATACTAATTCTGTAATAAGCTGCCACAAAATTATCTTAGAACTAGCAGACTAGTGTATCCTTTTAAGTATTGCTGACTTTGCTGTGGTTCTCTCTATTCATCACATGCAGACATTCAACATTACATGAAGAATCAGTGCTTCAAACTGTAARCATAATGTCTGGGTATACTCCAGCTACATCTAAAAGTTCAAAGTATGCTGCTGGTAAATAAGAAAGGAATTAGTAGGAAAAACATCCCTTTATAATTCCTTAATATTATGAGAACTGAATTTCTCTAAGCCACAGGCTATTTGGGTAGTGTAAGAAAATCCCTCGCATACAGGAAAATTTGCACTTTTTGAGTATTAAACATTATTAAAACAAAGAAAAGTTGCAAAGTGGAATAGGTAAAATACCTGCTTTTGAGGACATCATAACAGCTTTTGAAATTGAAGACATCTGAAAGAAATACATTCTGAGAGGCTAATGTACATATTGATGTGGGAGGATAGATATATACCTTTCAGTTACAGCAAAAGCCCCATTGCTTAGGACAAGATTTAATTGAAAATAATAGGCTCAGTAACACCTAGAACTAGATGCTATACATTGCAAATACTCATATTACAAACCAAAAGCTACAAGAAGAAAATAGTGCCTGAAAGAAGCATACAGAACAGGAAATATTTTAAGGTAAAATCAGATAGAGCTAATATATAGAATCATGGACAATTTTGAATTCTGGTGTCTACAGAGCTAAAATATCTCCTCCAGGGCTATAAAAACATCTCTTATTTAATCTTATGTAGGTATCTGCACTGTTCCCCCAAAAACCACCAAACAAGCCAAACAAATAAACAAACAATCAAACAAAATCAATTTGGATAACTCATTCTTGCAAACCAAGCAATGTAGTTGTCTCACCTCTTGCTTAGGCTGATGTTCCTGAAAGGTAAGACTTCCAGAATAAAGAGGTATTATTGGGAGAATTTTGTTTTATACACTAATACTATACCTCATCTTATTCCTGGTTTTTATTAAGAACTTTTAGCTACTTCTTATCTGTTCCAGAACATAGTTAATAGATCATAAGAGTCCCAAATCTTATTCTATTCCTCTGCTTTCTAGGCTCATAATCTGCTTTTAACTAAGAAAGAAAATCCAGAAATTCACTGCCAGTAACTCTTCTCTCCTTCTTCCCTAGCTGGCTTAACTCAACCATAAATGTACAGATAAATCCTTCAAAACTCACTGTTTTCTGGGCTGAGAAGATRATTTTCTCCAGCTGAGCCCAGTACTCACCCCACTTCACTCCTTATAACACCTGTGTTACACCTTTTACATGGGAAAAATGTTTCAGCCACTTGCTAGCTACTATCTGGGTCATATACAGCATGTCAAAGTGATGTTTTCCATTTAGGATGTATAGATACAAAATTACACAGGCCAGAGGGAGGAAAAAAAAAGCAATTCTTTTATTCACTTGGCACACGTTGTGTTTAGGAGAGTTCAGTTTGTAACCCTAGTTAATCATTCACAAAAAAACAAACAAACAAAAAAAACCCCAAAAAAAACCCCAACAAAAAACCCCAGAGTTTTAAAAAGTAACTTATTTGTTCTTCACAGCAGAGGATTAAGACACAATGCACTGAATAACTGGTGCAATACAAATGCTCTGCAGAAATGATTGTATTTGTATCACACACTTTCTGGAAAATGTAATCACTTTAACTTTCATTGTGTTTGTAACACAGAGACAAGAATTATTATGCAGAAAGGTCTGCTTCCTTTCTCAGCCTTCTTTTCAGTTATATAGGGACTTTTTTTTTTTTTTTTTTTTTTTTTTTACTGACAGTGTTTCATCCAGCAAGGATCGATGTTCATGTCCAGAGAAGGGCAACAGGGCTGCTAAAGGGTCTGGAGCACAGGTCCTAAGAGGAGTGGCTAGGGGAGCTGGGGTTGCTCTGCCTGAAGAAAAGGAGGCTTGGGGTGACCTTAYCACTCTCTGCAACTCCCTGAAAGGAGGATGTAGCCAGGCGGGGGTCAGTCTCTTCTGCCAAGGAACAAGCAACAGGAMAAGAGGGAACAGCCTCAAGTTGCTCCAGGGGAGGTTTAGTATATAAGGAATTATTACTTCACTGAAAGGATGATCAGGCATTGGAACAGGCTACTCAGGAAAGTGGCAGAATAACCAGCCCTAGAAGTGTTCAAAAAACCTGTGGATGTGGGACATGGTCTAGTGGTGAACACAACTGTGCTTTGGTAATGATCAGACTGGATCTCAGAGGTCTTTTTCAACCTTAACAACTCTATGACACCAGGCCAAATCACAATTACGGACCACAAACTCTGTGCCACTGATGATAGGAGAAATGGGTGTATATGTCTTTACAAACAACCTGATAACCTGAAAGAACCAATCAGGTTCTGGAAGAATGGGTGTGGGGGTGTGTGTTAGAGTGGAGATATGTAGTATGCGGATCTGGAAGGCTGCATCTTCTGTGTCCCTCACCCAACGGGGAAGGTAGGAAGGTGTTTAGAGTAAATGGAAATTGTGTCCCCTAAAAACCTGAGAGACCCCAGATGGGTATTGCCCAGTGGGCTCTTCCTAGCTTTGAGTAAAGTTGATTTTTGCAGGGCTCCTCTGTCTCATTTGTGGACACTGGCCTTTGGCAGCATGATTTTCCAAACATTGATAACCACTGTGGACTTGCCCCTGGTTTGTCTGTCTGGAGGAGCTCCTCCATTACTGTTGTGAGGTTATGAGTGTCACCAAACACTAGGGAAATAACTCTGACCACCCACAAGGMATAGTTCTGGCGCACAGCTGTGCCCTGGAATAACTGCTGGGGGTCTCTTGGCAGCACTTTCTACACAGCCCATGTCACTCTGCCCTCCGCGGTGAAACCCAGTGTTCTCCTTCCCTGCTGTGCTCCCATGCTCAGTTACTGAGGGCAGAGGCACAGCTGCCCATCCCCGCGCTGAAACAGGCCCTATCCCTGAAATCCTGTGTCAGCTTAGAAACTAATCCGTGCCTTTCATACACCAACTATACCTGTCCTGTGCATTTAGCAGATGTTTAACACGTGCACGGCTGTGGATGCGTAAAGTTTACAAACATCTGCAATCCCGAGGCGCACGGGGCTCCGAGTTACCCTGAAACACCGGCTTGTAAAGTGCCGTCCCCGAAACGGCAGCCTGAGTTCGGGGGCGTAGCTGCGGCCTCTCCCACCTTGGGCACCGAGCCGTGCGAGGGAAGGCAGCGGCGTGCCCGGCCCGGCAGCAGCAGCGGCGGCAGCGGTCCCGCGGCGCTCCCGGCCAGGCCGCAGGGGGCGGGCCGGGCCCAGCACTGCTCGCCCGGGCGCAGGCGCCGCCGCTCGCCCCGCGGCAAAGGGCAACTCGCCCGGGACGGCGGCTCCATGCGCTGCCAGGTAGGTGCAACCTGCCGGCCACCCCGGGATCCCGCCCGGCCGGAGGCTCGGCCGCTGCCGGGCAGGATGGCGGGGCTCCGGCTGGCCCTGGCCGCGGCGGGCGGCGGGAGCGGCCTGGGCGGCGGGAGCGGGGCGCGGATCCGCGGTCACTCACCGCCCCGGCTTCTCCGCCTTGCCCCCGCTGTCCCCAGAGCCGGGACAGGAAGGACGCGGCAGAGCCGACCGGCATAGAGAAACGCCTAGGAAAGCTTTTCCTGTCGCTGTGATTCCGGCTGCGTGCTGGCGTTTCGGAGCGGGTTTTGCGGCAGGGCCCGCTCCCTGAGCGCTGTTTGTTCCCGGGCAGGTCTCGGTGCTGTATTTCGCCAGGAGCGCGGAGCTGGCGGGACTGCGCTGCGAAACCCTCTCGGTGCCACGGCAGATCACCGCTCTGCAGCTGTGGGAGGAGATCGTCAAGGTCCATCCCAGGTATCCAGCAAGTTATCTTTGAGGTGCAAAGGAAACGTGGTTGGATTTTTTTTTTTTTTTTTTTTTTTAAATACGTTTAGCATTGACTGGAACACATAGCAGCACTTCAACAGTACAAAAACAGTGCTGTTACCTTCTTTTGGTAACCTGCACCGAGAGTTTTGTGTTTTGCACAGCTGGCAATGTTGTAGTTTTATGTATACACGAGGAAAGCCCAGATCCAGTACACATACCCAGAACTGGGCCTGAGAGGTGAACGTGGCCCATTGTCCAGAAGGGCTGTGGTGAGGTGACCTGAAAATTGTACTGCGTTGTCAGCCTGTGAGAATGTGAGACGTCTCAAGGAGGGATCAAGCACAGCCAGGACAATAAAAGAAATAAATGACAGTGTGCTGGTGTTATCAGTCACTTAGGTTAGACATCAGGAAGAAATTCTTCATTGAAAGGGTGCTTAGACACTGGAATGGGCTGTCCAGGGAGGTGGTGGAGTCACTGTCCTTGGAGGTATTTAAGGAAAGACTGAACTTAGTGCCATTGTCTAGTTGACATGGTGATGTTTGGTCATAGGTTGGATTTGATGATCTCAGAGTGCTTTTCAAGCTTAATTGATTCTGTGATTTTCTGTAACTGTGCTGCAAGCCACCGGGCTGAGCTCAGGAGGGGAACTGAAGCCCCCACAGGTGTTCAGCCAYTCAAGCCCTACACAGCATATAGGCTCAGTCACTTTCAATGTTCTCTTCTCTGAAAAGGCCACACCATTGCTGGTTGCATTTCACTAGGAGTCTGGTCCTGAGAGAGCACTGCTTGTGCTGTAAGGGCCTCTGCAGGACTGGTACTCTTTGGGGATGTCAGCAGAAATGTGCCCTCTGTTTCAGGCTGAGGAAAGGGTGCTCAGTCTGTCAAGAATGAGTCTAATAGACAAAGGTGCAACACCATTTTGGAGGGATAGCAGGGGGTTAAAAAGGAAGTAAGGTGTGAGAGAGGTTGTGGTCCTCAGGATTTAGTGCTTAGTGTTTTTGTATTTCCATAACTTGGGACACAGGTGTCAAAGTCTTCCTTTAGGCACAAACTTTCTTTAGAAAAGTACTCTCAAACACTATGAAAAAAGTGAATTATTTAGCAGTGGTATCTGTTTCCAAATGAGAAACTCTTTACAAATTGCTGGGCCAGGGGCCTTTCCCTCACAGGGAATTGAAATTAAGTGTGTTTCGGTGGTGGAGGCAGTAGGGAATGTGTGTATTTTACTTTGCAGGCTTTTCCTCTCTCTCAGAAGCAGCAGCATCACCATTGGTCATTTTGCCACAATTTGTCAACTTTGTCCTTTTATGAATGATGACTTGGGGCAATATAATTTGCATTTGCAGTTATTTCACAGTGTACTTCTTGAAAAATGCTTCTGTTCCTAGCTTTTCTGGAAAAACTCAATACAACTGTAGGGCATTGACCACAGACTTCTATTCACATTGCTGGTGGATATTCAAATTGCAGCTTGAGCATACTTGACAGTACTTTTCTGTTCCACCCATTTTCCCCAATTAATTAGCTTGCAAGGGACTTCAATTAGAGCCTGTCCTTCTTATGGGCACTTCAGTTTCATGTGGCATGCAGTTCTTTAGTGGCTTGCTTTGCTTTCATACAATCCCTCTCTTCAATCTGCTGTCTGAGTCAGTGCTACTGTGTTTTGCACAGCTTGTGCCTTGCCTACTTTTGTCCATCTGGCTGGTAGGAAATAAGATGATTTTTACTTGTTCTCTTTTGGTGYGCTTACTTGTTTCTAGCCAATACAGTTTCAGCTGGCTGTGCCAGATTTTGTAGTCTCAAGCAAGAGCAGTTACCATGCCTGCACCATCTAAAGTAAAATGCTGGTATTCTTTTTTTCTGGTGTATAACTGCCATGGCCCTCATGCTTGCAGTGTCATTGCACTTATTTGTGGAGATGACTCCCTGCCTCAGTATCCAGAGCTATGGACTCTCACGGCAACATCTCACATAAAAAAATATGTACAAGATCTGCCAGAAGACACATTTGCCCTCTCACAGTTCTGTGGCCACTCTTTATCAATTGCAGATTTCAGACCTGTAAGTGCAAAAGATCCAAAGCGTCATAAACTGAGCACACACAAGAAGAGCAACTCTTTAACCACTGAATCTTCCTGAGGTCTCAGGAACTGCAAGTGCTTCTTGGTGTTTAAGAAAATTACACAACAGTCCAGCCACACTTCATCAGGGCAGCATTCCCTTCTAATCTGGAACTGGATGGTTGCTGCCTCTTGAGTTTACCAACGTTTTTGTTGTAAGCTTCTGAAGTGAGTCTGGTCCACATTAGTTTGTTCTGACATTGGCTTATGACAAATCTAATTCCTGACTTCTGGTAATTATACTGGTTGTGTTTCTTCTTAGACACTAAAAAAGAAAATCCAAGATTAGGAGGTGTGTGTTTATTATGTTTATTATGTTTTTGACAGTGTCTCAGAAGCAAAGTTGTGTGAATCTCCATGCTTTTTACTCAGCTGCCCTAGACTGTACATCAGTTTGTTGTTTAATAAAAGCTTGTGGCTAAATGCAAACCTTGTTTGGAAACCTATTTGTACTCTTGCCAATTGCCCCTCAGGCTTGCTGTCATCCGGGATCAAGTGGTGTTTGCTGTTCGTCAGGAGTACGTGCTTCTTGGAGATCAGCTCCTGCTCCTGCAACCTGGAGACGAAGTTGCCATCATCCCACCGATTAGTGGAGGCTGAGCCTGCCCAGGGTCTTTTAGGTAGGTATCACTCATTGCTTAGTTTCCTGTGGAGTGTAGTCCTGTGCTAAAATACCTCCAGAGTTCTGTATGATGTTACAAGAAACTTTTCTTGTTTAGGTCCAGAGATGTGATTGCAAGTCTCCCCCTCAAATGCAGTAATCTTTTGAAAGAGCCCAACTTGTGTTTCCATCTGGAGAGTTCATTTGTGCTGAGCAGAAACTATAAGCCAGTGCACCAGTAAATGATTAACACGTATGCAGTAAATGGAAGACACTTGCCAGAGAGGTCAGGCATTGCTTTGAATCTGGGTTTTAGGTCTTGTTACACTTTGCTGGTTGTTTCTTGCTACCAGTAGATACTTGGCTTTCCTAAATAAGAAAATGAAAAACTTGCTGCCACTTTTTAACAGAAAAGATAATATAGAAAAAATAATTGACTTCTGTTTAGAAATTTTGTTACTTTGTTGCTGTTTAAGACCTTAGCATAGCTTTGTTTCTTTGCCTACTTTCAGGTGCCAGTCCATATATGTACTGCAGCTTGTTCTATTGCTACTTCTCAAAATACTTCTCATTCTTAGATGATCTGATGACTGGTTTTTACTCAAAAAAGTTAGATGTTTCTTGTGTGTGACTGAAACAGCCTGATAATATGGGGTGCTGGAGAGCATATTCAACTTTATGATTAGAAGYCCTAATCTGTGTTTATCAGAAATCTCTGTTTTAAATTGTTTGATTTGATAAGCAGTAGAGACTGACAGTATCACTGTAGGTTTACCTGCACTACACAGTGGTCTATTCTGGTTGAATGTACTGTTAACCAGGGCCTCGGGCTAATTATAGTTTTATCCCACAGTCCTATTAGAAAGAAATATGTTTGCATTAAAACCTGGTCATTGCTTGTTATTGCACTTAATATTCTCTCACTGAGACTGCTGTGATGTGAATTTCACGTGTAGACTAGTCTCTTGGGCAAATACACAGTGCCTGTGTTCTGCATGAATTGGGGCATCAGCACTTGATAAATAGCAGTTGGCTGATGTTAGTATTTCCAGAATCAACAACGAAGTCTGTTTGGTTTCAGTTTTTCTGGTGAGATATGGAAGAAAGCAAAGATGTGCCGAAAGATTTTATCAAGCTCRAGTCTGAAAAGCTCTCTGTAGATGAAGTATCAGAGCTCGTTGTTTCACCATGCTGTGGGGCAGTGTCTTTGTTCATTGGTGAGTTTAATATTTGTGAGCTAAATCTCTGGATATGTTAATAGTCTAATAAATGGAACCTAGGTTGTCCACATCCCAGACTTGTAGTTCTCAAATAAATCTGATCCTTGTCTGAGCCCCAGATGTTTAGAAAACATGTTCTGAGTTACTAGAGCAAGACCGTGGCAGCTCTTAAATAGCTGCACCGGGCTGAACGGGTGAGAAGCTTTCTGGCTGGTACAGCTGTCCTAGGACTTAACATAACAGCAGCTCTAGGGTACAGAACGGCTTGGGACTTGTTCTGTTATGCCTGTTATCAACTTGTTCCAGGTGGGAAATGGAATACTGTGGCTATGCCAGCCACATATYCATGTCTGTATGTAAGGTCCTGCAACTCAGGTCTTAGTTGAAAGGGAAGTACTGTTTTACCAATGGGCTGGTGAAAGTAAGGCTGGTAGCTCTGTCCTGTGCTTAATGTGCATGGCACACATATGAAACCCCTTTTGTGCTTAAATCTCAGTGCTACCCGGCTCCTAAATACCAGGCATTTAAAAATTGCATGGACAAATGCCATTGGCAGGTACCACAGATGTTCCAGCCTTGGGCATTATGGGCCGCAGACCTGTATAATATGTAAAGTAAATTCTTCCTTTTATAGTAAAGATTTATCTTGTTCAAATAATCTCATTATGCAACTGTGTTTAAGGGAGGTTGTTTATATTTGCACAATGCTGACCTTGACCATAGCAAGAACTCCTGGATCTTACTCAGTATTAATATAGTATATATTATTATGTAATAAATATATGTATTATAAAGGTATAATATGTATTCATTTACTCAGTAATTTTAGTTGATAAATTATCTTTGTTTAGGTACTACAAGAAATAATTTTGAAGGGAAAAAAGTGATTCACTTAGAATATGAAGCATATACGTCAATGGCAGAGACTGAAATAAAGAAAATCTGCAGAGATGTTAGACAGAAATGGCCTTCGGTCAAACATATTGCAGTGCACCATAGACTTGGGTATGTATGTCCAGACCCCATCCTTCTGCAACTGGAGTATTAATCCTTGTCTGGTGCATGGCTGTGGTTACAGAGTTGCAGAACCTGCAGGAGTGTTTAGAAACCATAGYGGAGGAAAGCTGGCTGCAGGATCAAGCTCTTGCTCTGGAGCTAAGTTTCAAATATTTTATCTTCCAAAATGTGTATATTGTTAGTGCTTGCAGGAGCCCATATTTAGCCTGACTGGATCTTTGATGCTGGTGATTTGACCATGCAGAGAAAAAGTTGAAATTTCACTCCAGGGAAGGGGAGGCTATTGGTTTGTTTTGTTCTTTACTTTTCAAAGGTGTGAAGTTGTCAGCACTTTCTGTTTTTCTTTTCTGTCTGTGGAGGTGCTGTAGAATGTCCTTATTGTCAGACTTCAGTCAATTTATGCTATCAAAAGTCTGAAAGCTTAGGCTGTGTCTCATAGTAATTGTCAGCTATATTTAAGGGAGAACCAATTGTTCCTTGAGTCTTGGATAAAGATTTTCCTTTGGATTCAAAACATGGAATACTAATGTCTGACATACTCTTGGGCTTTCTYTGCTCATCAGATACCTTGCTGAAACTAGCAGGATTTGCAGAAATCCTGAAGGAATTTAGGATGTGATTGCAAAGGATGAGATTCAAGGTCTGAGGGGTAGTTTCCCTAGATTTCCCATCTGGCCAACAGAGAGGGTGACTGTCTTGAGGGCAACTCAAAGCATTTAAACTGAGATTTCTTCCTATGGAGTGTGCTAGAGGAATCTTACTGTAGAGGGAGGACTGGGAGGTAGATTTGGGGAATACTACAATTGAAAGGAGAGGCACAGAACCTTGTGCTTCTTTTAAATTTGTAATGCAACAGACCAAGTAGGAAACTTCAGAATTTAAAATCTGAATTCATCAAAAATTAGGTTTCATTGCAAAATGTGCATAGCATGAAGCACTTAATTTCTTCTTTCCAAATTATTGTGTGAACCGTTTATTTCTTAGATTTTCAGATAAGAACTGGCTGTTCTAACTTGTTATTGTTCATTATTAAGTTAGCTTCCAGTGAGTTTCCTATGTATTGTTCCAAGTTAATGATTTCCCCTGAGTTTCCTATGTATTGTTCCAAGTTAATGATTTCCCCCTTTTAATTCCATAGGCTTAATTTAAAAAAAAAAAAAAAAAAAAAAAAGAAAGAAAGAATGGAAGAAAAAAGTTTGTGTCTGGTGGGTTTATTTATTCTAGAGTGTGGAATTCTAACATCTGGTGCTGATTTTGGTCATGGTTTTCTTTCTTTTAAACAGTGTATAATCTTTTGGATGTGGTTTGACACTTGCTCAGTATGAATGAGTCAGGAGAGCATGTGGCCAGAATGTTGACGTGACATGGCTATAACTTTGGGGTGCTCTTGATGTTAAGTGTTAGCTAAAGCTGCTGTTGTTCCTCTTCTCTCCCCAGTGTGGTTCCAATAACTGAAGCAAGTGTGATTATTGCAGTCTCCTCTCCACACAGAGCAGAATCCCTTGAAGCTGTAACATACTGCATCAATACATTAAAAGCATCTGTTCCAATATGGAAAAAGGTATGTTTGGGGACAAAATCAAACTTAGGCCGATGCTGGCCTTAGAACCATTACAGGCAGTAGCTGCACCTGATGGGATATCAGTGTCTATCACYAGTAAATTTCCTCTAATGCAACCAGGCCCATATGTGGGAAGTAAAGCATCTGGAAGATTCTCCTGTGTCTGTACCATCCAGCTCCTCTTTATTTTGAAGCCATGCTGGAGTCAAAGTGAAGGAAGCCTGAACTCTTCTGAGTAGCAAAACTCAGTTCTTCACAGGCTTGTGGAAGAACTTTGAGTCAACTGTGCTTTTGATAGCACTGCAGCTTGCAAGTAAAAGGAGCATTTCTCATCTTGGCTTCGAGAAAGCACAGGGCAGAAGCAACAGCACACAATGAAGGGATGAGCAGAGGTCCCAAAGCTGGGAGACAGGCACACATTAGTGTGTGGAGAAACCAGCCCAGGTCTAGAAAGAACCTCATTGTATATCCACAGCCTTGCATGCAAGTAATGAGCATTATCTCTGCCTTTTTTCCCRGCAGAACTTGGCATGTGGTTAACTGTGATATTCTCTGCTCTGCTCCACTTTTCTGATACCTCTTTGAGGAGACTGAAGTTCTGTGGTCTCAGAATGAAGAATCAGGGGCTCAGAATTTGCTGCTTAGGACTGGACTGCAGCTGGGTAACCCAGTCTGCTCTTAAGATCTAATACTAGTGTATTTAGTGTATTAATTAATTTTTTTTTTAATAGTGACGTTTTGTTGCATCTAAATACTCTTCTCAAAATGATGATACAGTAGGTTAACATGGCATCATGAATGCTGTGCACTTTACACTTTTACATAATTTCTTATAGAGTTCTTTGTTGAATTAACTTCAGTGTAGGTGGGCTCTTTTAAATTCGGTGGGGATCAGCCTGAGGTTCAGCCAAGTCCATCTGTTCTAAGGGTAATGCCCTCTTTTCTGCTTGCCAGCCAAGTGCTGTGCAGTCCTGGTTGAGATTGGTAAATAATAGTGGGATGGCTATTGAGTTAYTTAGCCTGGTTTATGGCTCCATGTAGCAGACTCACAATACTTCGCATTCTTTGTTTATATTACAGGAGATTTATGAAGATGAATATTCTTGGAAAGAAAACAAGGAATGCTTTTGGGCAAATTCAGAAAAATAAATGTACTCTTTTAAAAATAAAGTGTTACTCTTCTTAATGAACATACTTACCT